CTAAACAAAATCAAAGGATGATGTAATAACAGCCTTCATGTATCTTGGCACGACAGGCACAATTTCGTTGGAACAATATCGTTTGGCAAACCTAGCTGCTACAACTCTCTGTGCTTAAGAAACTGTTGGCCGAATCCGAAAAAATCTGCCTACAAAAGGAGCGCACCTAATTTCCGGGAGATATGCGGTGGTGGGTCGAAGGGTGGGGCAGGAAGGGACTTTCACAGATGGAGGGTGTGAACCACATCAGCCCCACCATGGTTGAAGCTGAGGAAAATATGTATGATTGTGGCACGTCCAGATGGCCGGAAATGGCCCTCTATCTCAGTCATAAATTTGAATATAATTTTCATTTCTACCCCATTTTTTCATAATTTTTAAATATTTAGGAGGCCCGGCCAGCTTTCTTCCTCCATGTACTGTACTACTGATTTGGTTAAAGATTTCCTAACACTTTTAATTATGTTTTGCTACACATAGTGATACTCACCGGCACTGACTTCCTTAGAAAATTGATAATAAAGCTCAGTGAAAACATGCAAATATGAATTTGCGGAGATGGATTTACTTCCGGGAGATTCTCGCTTGCTTGCAAAAGTGCGGGAGACTTTTATACAGTAAAATTCGTCATCATCACATCTCCTTTATAGTAAAAATGAAGCGCCAACAAATTTAAAATAAAAAGTCGACTGTACGCATGCGCCATCTGAGACAATTTTTAAGCTAATATTTTGCTAAGATGGTTTGATAAATCAGCTTAAGATATTTGCTTTAGGGACATCTTAACTTTTTTGATAAGACATTTCCTAAGCTGAGATTGATAAATCCCGCGTCTGGACCCCAGTAGCACATGTTACTGTGAACTAAACATTATTTTTAACTTGAAACGCAATTCTAGCCTTGCTCATGTAGTCCCAGTTACCATAGATTATAAACTAACATCAACTCTCTCGTCCGACTCCACGACATTAATTTGCCGATACAAACAAATATATTTTGATAGCCAATCCAAGTGTGGTCAAAAATCACATGGGCGATCCTGTAAGATTTCTCCCCATGAACCTTACCCCAGGGATTTTATTCTGGGACCCTGAACAAGACTCTAGACATCCTCTAGTTTTAGACCCCGATCAAAATTGTTGGACCCCCTATCGACATTTTTCCTAATTTGACGAACATTCTACTACAAAATCCTTAAATCGACACTACCAGCCAATTTAAGAGTCTATGTATAAATAAGAATGTAGCACTGGTATAATTTAACTGTCTGTTAATTGTCAGGAAAACAATTTTTTCATTCATATTTAATTGTAAATTTGTGACACTTAGATATAATTATTCAGTTATGGAAATAAATTGTTTATCTTTCAGCTCAAGACAGACAGTGTATTATTTAAATTGGACCTCATTGGAAATGGGCTGGACTACGGCCTAATGGGCGTTCCTGATGCTTATTACGGTAACTACTTTTCTTGATCTCAATCCATTTGTTGTCTTGCTTATGCATGTTGGGCATCGAATAAATTCAATCAATCAATTAAAAATATTATATCATGGAAAATGTTTGTATGAAGATTATAGTTATAGTAATCTATATATTCATTTATATCGAATAGTACACTTTTTTATAAATTTTATTTAGCCATGACAATCGGAATGCTAACATAATTTGTTTGCGCTATTGCGATCTACTTGTCCTACCCAATGCCATGTATTTAATAATCCTCACATCATTCCGTGGTATGATGATACTATAAATAATTAATATTTAATATGATAATGCTGATATGATAAGAATTGCGAAGTACTACTGTATTATGTTGTATCAGCAGCATTGTACATTACGATAACTGAATATAATGTTCAGGTTGGGGTGCTCCCCTGGGGGTCGCAGCCGGTCTGCCTTCCCCCTCCCACCACCCTAAATCTTTTAAAATGGTAAAAAAATTGGAGAAAAAAAAAGGAAAATTACATTCAAATTTAAAATCTGAGAGTGCCATTTCTGGCCATCTAGATGTAGCATAATCGAAGTTTCTTACTTCAGCCCCAACCATGGTGGGGCTGAGGTGGTTTCAACCCAGAGTTCCTCCCCGTGGGTCCCCTCTATTTCAAACCTGCTGGCTCTGCCTCTGTTTTTATTTATATATTATGTTTTCATGATACTCCGTTATAATTCTTTCTCTGTTTCGAATCGAAGTGATTATAATGTATTTAATTCGATTATATACTGATTAATAATCATGAAATATATATTATTATAAATGAAATTACCACAAAGGAAGTACACACAATGATGTATTATAAATTACACTACAGTTTACTTTTATTTCTTACATACTCGGAATTGTTACATCAGAACTATATAAACGTAATATAAATATTCTAGTTTTATATAATATTATATAATGTTTGGACCTAATTATATTTAAGTATGTAATATCGTTCGAGAATTACTTGTTCATTGTATAAGAAACATAATTGGCATAATTGATTCAATTCCGGCGATCCAGTGATATAAATACTAATAATATCCGCGCGCAATTATTTATAGAATTAAGACCACATAGATCCGGCTATTGATAGCATCTTGTGTTCCGGCAATTTAATACACATCGTGTTCCGCTGACAATAATTGTACATCGACTTCCCACTTATTGATGGATCGGTAGATTTGACCTGAGACACTGAAATAAAAGAGATTGAACTAGTGAGAAATACATTCAAACTATTTTTATTTTGGCATCTGTGTAAAGTGCAATAGGCCTATACCTTTGTGAAATTTTACTCAATTTAACCATTGGCTACAATGTAAATGCTTTTGTTGTTAAAAAAAATCTTTGAATGAATGAAATGTTAGGCCTAATTAAGTATAAATCTCATTAGATTAAAAACACTTTTTGGAAATTTTATGACATTCATACCTTCATGAGGTATAGGAATACAAATTTAGAAAATAAAATAGATTGATTTAATCGAAAAAGGTCAAAATTTTAAGACAGTCGAAAATGTTCTGAAATACAGATTTTTTTTCTATTTGTTTGTACTTAAAAGCGAGTGTTAAATTTTAACATTTTAACCAATACTCTATCGGACCCCTGTATCGTCCTATAATAACAAACCTGGGGTCCAACCTGCTTTCCCCCTTGATGGCATCTGGAGTTTTAAGTGAACCCTCCTCATTTGGTATTTGGTATGATCATTATATCTTATGTTCAATAGGGTCTGCTCCACAGCTCCAGCATGTAACAAGGTTTGGGTTCCGTCCTGGTGAACTTGGTATTCATGGTCACTTTGTAACAATTCGTGAAATGGAGTGTCGCCATACTGTAACACAACAAAAATATAAAGTGTAATCAATGGCAGCTACCTCATATGCACACAGACTTTTATTTGCTAAAAACATTAACATAAACAATGAATAACAATAAACTGTAATCTAATACCGGCCAAATATGTAATATAATTAAACAATCATCTCAGTTCATTAGTATATATATATATATATATATAACATGTTGGTGATGATCAAAAGATATCCAATCCACGTATGCTTCAATATATATAAAATAAGTAAGCAGAACAGAAATAACATTCTTCACAAGGTGACTACTTTGAAGCATATATTTTATTTAAAAAACCAAATTTTCGGGAGCGCCTGCTCCCCTCTTCAGGGTTACAATTGAAATGACTCAAAACAGCACTTAAAGACTAATTAAACAGCATAGGCTTA